ATAGCTGTATAATTCAATGGGAAGGAACATTTGATTAGATCTTCGTACTCGAACCAATCATCATCATCAAGAACTATGGTTATTGAAGTTTGTATCTACAAATAAAATTTTAATTTTATTCAAATGAAATATTAAGTATTTATTATAGATGTTTTTGTGATTCAAATTTACTATACCCTAAAATAAAGTAATGATATTTTCCACATTCGGTCTGCTACATCAGAACATCCTACACGAGGGATTTCAAAATTTTCCAGAATAGATTGAACGGAGCCCAAAATCGCATACAACACCAGAAATTTTTGGAAAGCAAATGATTTTGGCATTTTAAATATACTCATTCAGTATTAAAATGTTGATTATAGTTTATGGCTATAAAGAAAATATCTTTGAAAATATGATTATGTAATACATTCCATAGGTAAAGTACTTACGTTTTTTATTCTGCATTTTGCCATTGTGAATAAATTTATGTTCAGGTTTTAAACGTTAGAGCACGATAACTTATTTTAATAAAATGTTAATTAGTGATATTAAATCTCTTAATTAATTTTGTATGTTATCATATGTGTTGGAGCTTGTTTTTTAAATTGTTGGAGAAGAAAGAGTGAATATTTGATTATTATAAACATTATTATTTATCACTAAACCAGTATGACTTGGAAAAATATGTTGGAATTTAGAACTTTCAAGTAAAGAACGTGTCTATTTTCCAGCAATGTACAATATTCTCCACTAGGATATTTATTAAATGAATATTCAATTATATTGATTTGAAGGAAATCGTTCTTACAATTAGTGGAATTTTTGCAAACATTGACTGACTTAATTTACGGAAATTTATTATAGTTATGTTAATGAACTTCACTTAGTAACCATACCACAAGCATATACTGATGTAATAGGGTGTCTTTGATAAATAATAGAATAATTTATATAGAAACGAAATTGTTTCGCTGTACATAAATGGACAAATACTTTTCGAGACATATATTCCGGGAGTTGGCACTAAAATATGCAAAGACCTGTCAATTCACGAATTTTGTTTTGCGTATACGGAAACATATCCGTGTAGTAATATCATTGAGGATAAAGGACTGAATGTTTTTTGGCTTGATTGATTTAGTATTTCAATAATTAACAAGCCTTTCTGTCTTAACTAATGAGAGCATATCTCTGTATCAACAGATACTGGTTCAGATACGGGTTAATTTGAAATTTTGATTTTTTTTAGATTTTAATGATCCGTTACCCTGTTATTTTGATTGAGCCATTTCAATTTTCTATAACCACTTTGGTTCCAAATTAAATTTTTTATAAACATTTTATTTATACATTTGATTTCCTGCTGATAATATGTTGCAATGGGATTTGTTGCTGATAATAAGTTGCAATGGGATATTTTTAATTGATTCTAATATTTTGAACCAATCTTCTTGAAATATTTTAATACCCTTCTTACACTTTGTGCGATTCCGATCTACTTATATTTACTGTAATAATAATTCATATTTCTAGTTCTGTAATTAAAACAATAAATCAGCAAGATTTTGCTTTTTGGATTAACATTATGGGTTGTTCATATGGTTTTAAACTGAAAATATTGCTCACCTGCTTTTCCCTCGTTTTAATATTTGCTTTTACGCCCATTAATATAAAATAAATTATTATATAGAGAAAAACAGATATATTGTGTAGTCCATTTAGAGAAAGAACATTCAACACGAGGGAAGAAAATTTTTGGAAAGCAAATGATTTTGGTATTTTAAATATACTCATTCAGTATTAAAATGTTGAATTTAATTGCTAATGTAACATTTTATTAAATTGTTATTGAATTTGTCTGACTTTGCTGTCTTTGGCGTTTATACTAATCATTGATAACACCTAGTTACAAAGATTGGATAATTGTTACTTCTGTAAATTAAGATGTACACATCATTTTGAACTTTCATAGTTCCAAACTTCGGAACATATTTTTATCAGATATATTTTTCATTATTCTTTACTTCTATTGATTTCTAATGATTCGCTTTTGCTTCTTAATAAACAAGTTTTCACCGACAACTTATAAAAGATTTTATTTAAACGTTCTCATTTAGAGAAATACTCTACATTGCATTATTGAGAAAAAAACTGCTACTCCGAGTAAAATCTGGACATAGTATATTTTGTATTATAATGCTTTAAAACTTTTCTCTAAACAACTATGAAGGTACTATGATGCATTAACAACCTATGGACAATTTTTAATTAAAATAAAAAAGTGGTAAATTAGGTCCCAGAAATGAAACCTATCTTGAAAGTCTTTTCGGATCAAGGTGCGTATGGGTTTTCTATCATTGCTACTGATATCATTAATTTTACTAATTGATGTTGACACATACGCAAAGGTTTGGCGTGTGGCAGTCTCCAAATATTTTCATTTTTTTATACTAGATATGTACATTTATAAACGTTTCTATATTTTTATATGCTATTGTACTATACGTCAGCACACACACTCACAAACACATACATATATTCCTTTCATGAACTAAAAAGTCTCCATATTTCTCTAAAGCATTTTTATATTATGTTATAGAGTTTTCGCCGTTTCGAGATTGCGATGTGTCCATGTCCTCAGGAACTCATACAGTTCGATTCAAATGTTCATATATAAAGGATTTAAGTAGACTACTATATAAGACTTTATATAGTAGTATAATCAAATCCGTGTGGATTTATGGAATCCAATTGTGCAGGATGTTGTAGCAAATCAAATGAAGGAATAATACAATCGTTGTAATCCAAAACTTTGACGATAACTGATGTCCAATGATTTGTTAACAACAAAATTATACACGCTGACATCAGCATTCCTTTAAGAAAAGAATTACTAACCATCATTCAGAAAATTGTCATTTCAATGCAGCAATTGCTCAATGAATTTTGATATATCTCACTCCAATGAGTGATTCACCAATTCTGATTTTTTTTCAAGAATGCAGTAATTATAATGGTCGTGGATATTGTTTTTTGGAAAATTCTTTTTCAGTCTTTTTGAAACCAGTGTCTCAAGAAGTTGAGCTACTATATAATTTGTATGATCTTCCTTCCTTCATTCGTTTCTTCTTAAAGAACTAAGCTACAAATTGTAGGTTTAGGAAATGTTGAAGTTTGGGTTAGCTTTATTACTGTCTATAAATTCCATATTGAAAATTAGATATATAATACTGAATGAATAAAAAAATACTAATCTGCGCCCACTCGAAGCTTTTTGAAGCCAAACATAACAAATACTTCAAAATAACCACAACTTATGCACATAATGTTTCAGATGTTCATGTTTAATATAATGGACATTTTAGAGCTTGTTCATAATCCGTTTTTTTTTTGTTATTTTTGAACAGCAATCAGGACGTAATAGTCCTATAAACTGTTGTGCTGATTTTGACTTAATACCAGTCTGTTTGACTGATGGCAATCCAAACAGTTATGACATCTCTGTATGATATATTATTATTATCTACATGTTCTGTAATAGGGCGAATATTTTTATTGGTGCAGCAATGTTGGGTGAGGGCTATTTTCACTTGGAAACATATTGCTATCTATATTTCCAAGTGAAAATCGTTGTCACTGCTGCCTGACAACAGGCTGTTCGAAGTGGATATCGAACCCGGGATCTTTGAATCAAGTTCCGTCGCTCTTAACCGCTTACCTACGGGCGAGTCCTTCCTAATCAGTAGCACTTATTATATAATTCCATTTTATTCATAATTCGAATTAATTGTTTTGCAATATTTAGTATATATCGTGGACTTTCCCGTAGCTTAGAGAGCCATGGAGTTCATTCAGAACTTTCAGAAGATTCAGGTGCGATGCTCGCCTCAGACAGTCTGATGACTAGCAGTAGTGGCATCGATTTTCATTTGGTGCGTCAAATTAAAAAAACCCTATCAGAGGAATTCTAATAATAAAAAACATCAAATAGAGATATGGCAACTATTGGGTTGCGTTCTGAAAAAGGCTGATGGTTAAGGAAAATCATCAGAACAACTTAAGTTTCGATTACTATTACTATTAATTTATTACTACAGACTTTTAAGTCTGTAGTAATAATAGTAATAGTAATCGATAGTCAGATTACTATCCGCCAAAAAATACCAAAATAAATAATATTAAAAAGAAAAATATTTAATTGCATAACGGGAAGTTCCGGCAACAATGTTGTACAACTCATTAGTAGTTGAATTATTCAAATTCAGTCCGCATACACATATCATATTCGACTCGCTTATTGATTTGTTTATGATTGGACATGAATGTCTCAACTGATAAGATAAAACTTTTTAGCACTCTTGCAAAAGAATGCGCACAGGCTTCAGTATAACACATGCTCCTAACAAATTAAGTAACATTTGTGAATAAATATATTAGTAATTGAGGTGAAAAAATTGAGTAATTGAGGTCAGGTTAGCGATACCTAGTAATCAACTACAAATTTCTCATAAATATTGTGTCGAGCTTGTAGGGATTCAATTGTGATAAAAAACCAAGAATTTTTTCTAAATAATTTGACAATGATTAATGAATTTGTTAATGATGGATATATATGTATATTTTACGGAGTGTTTTTGAACAAAAAAAATCATATTTATATCTGAGATGCATTTTATCATTCATATTTATCAAAATATAATGATACTTATATGGCTTTTGATAATTATGAAACTGAACTTTTGCATAGGATATATAATATAACATGGGGGGCGCCATGCTGTTCTAAAGAGAGCGCGTACGTCTGTTTTCGAAAATAACCAAAAAAATTAAAAGGATATTATATAATAAACAAAAAAATATCAGTTCTTATAAATATTTTTATATAATATTGCATATTAGTTTGTATTCTGATAATATCAGCTTGTATTCTGATAATATCAGTTTAGTATTTATAAAACTAAATTGTTGAAAAAATAAGGGGGCACCGCGGGGGGGCACGCTGCAAAAAAGATTGCAAATCACTGAGATAACTTTTTTTAGTAATGTTTAGAAATAATAGAAACTTTTGGCGTACAAGTCGCGGGCTTACATCCCTGCTTCTTTAACCTTTATCAGTATTCTTTGGTGCAGATAATTAGCTCTTCATATTTGCATTAGCGTTAATACAATTATTGAATGCCTTGATAGTAGACAGATACTCAGAAATATACGTTGAACAACAGATAATATTGTGTTAAATCTGAAGGTGTCGATATGAGTATATAGTTATATCATATTTCTTATGAAACGATTGTACACCGCAACACCGCTATCTTTCAACAATTGATCATCAGGTGAGATTACCATAAGTATTGCATAAGCTTGAATATTGCATACACTGTACTTTTCACTATAAGAAAAATGTACTCATTATTTTATCAATAACAATAAGTCAAAAAACCGTTCGAAGATATTCGATTGCTTATCATGCAGGTTTGATGTGGGTAAAGATATGTTGGGACATTTTTCTAAACGATTTCAGATTTTGGACAATTTTTAAAAAAATACAGTTCAAAATTATCAATTTTTTTTTCAAAATTGTTCTACATTTTTATGGTCATATATTAAACAAAATTTTGCAGAAAAATTTGTATTAAAAAATCTCAATATTAGTTCTGTACCAAAAGTCTGAATGCTCTATAACTATTAAGTATGAAAAATTTGGAAGCCCACTTTAATGATTGCAAATTTTAGTAGGTCGACTGAACATGTTTCTTTTTTTTTCTTATGAATGCTATATGTGTAATAAATATTTCACGTGCTAATTAAAAGTTTACTACTGAAACTATAAATTCGTAAATACTATTTATTAAATAATATCGAATAGCACAATTGTGTATTTTATAAAATATATTATGTACGTGTGCAAATTATAACTAAATAAATTAATTTGTTCATTTATTATTTCTATAATGTAATATTAAATGAGTGCTTTTATAAAAATACTCGACATTTAAATATAATGATGATATCCAGCATCATTTCAATTATAACTATTATATATAATTTATTTAAAATATTTAGTTTTGTTTAATGTATCTAATTTTATGAATTTTTAACTGAACTTTCTAGAAAATTTAAAATAATAATATGCAGCGGTACTCAACCTGCGGCCCGCGATTTAGGTTTGCAAATGGTAATCAACAAAAATCTAATACTGCTTCGGGATGCACTACACTGTTTTTTCAACAAGCTTTTACATTGTGTTTATGAATATCTAGAAATTCATACCAGTGAAATTATATGAGGCAAAAGAGTCTTGAAAGGGACATTTGTATTACGGAATTCCACAATTGAGACGATACCCAAGTTATTTTAAAGTTTACTTTATCTATTGAACTCAATGGAACTATGTAATAATTATTTCAGTCTTGGTTCTTATCTTTGAGAACATAATTGGCATATTTATTTCTTTATATTGTAAGACCAATATATGTAGTTTAAAAAGCACATATTTATTCTAATAGTAAGTTGTATGACACACCTTGATTTTTATTTTTAATATTAGCTTTTTCAAGCATTTCATAATAATCTGAAGTTGACCAAAAGTTTACAGATATTGTAGCTTTTATTTCTTATATTCAACCAAAGTATCAGTATCCAGAAATCCATAATCATTGCATTCATAATGAAATATTTAAAATGAAGCATACAAAAATAGGATTAAAAAATATTGTTTCGAAGAGAAAAAAACGTTACTATTTCTATTATCCCTTTCAACGCCAATTTCATTGCCTCTCATTACTCTTTGTAATTAATGACTCTAACTTATTTCTATTAATTCGGCTGAATTTTCTAATATTTTGGTTTCTTGTTCTTCTGCAATATCAACTTCATCTTGATCTTCTTTTATCATATCATTTTTATTCAATAATTCTTGCTCTTTTTTTCTCAATCTATACTCCGTAGGTGTTAACATTCCTCGTAATAGTGTATCTAAAGATACTGAAACTCCTCTAGCCAACATTCTTCTGTGTGTGTTAAAGCACTGCAATTCCTGTAATTATAAAATTATAAACATTAAATTTTGTTAATATTACCTATCTGACCATACTACACACTTATTTAAATTTTTTTTTCTATTTTATTTACAACTGTCCAGTTAAGGACACTTTGTAGTAAATTTGAGGAATTTACAATTGTCAGCCGTAAAGAGACATTGTATACTAAATTGACATGGTGGAAAAACAACTCAATAAAAATTTCAATTTGCAATTAAATAAATTAAAACTTTAATTTGCAATTAAAGTATCTATATCTGCTTCAACTTAGGTTATATTAATTGCAAATTTAAAAGGAAGTATTTAATATAGACATGTCACCGCTTTTAAATCTAATACGGCAATGAATATCTTATAACATACCATCTATTCCAAGAAATACATTATAGTGATATGATTATCAAGGTTGATTTCAATATAGTTATTTTTCAATCTCCGAAAATTAACAGGCATGGACATGATTCAGAGGCAAATTGGCTTATTCTGATTACTGAGAGCCCCTTGCAAAAGCTTGGTTACCAGAAGTACGACGAATTTGTCGATAAAGATATTGAATTCAAGATGGATAATTTCAACAACTCTTTTACGGTGATTTTTGCTTTTTAAAAAATTAATCACTACAGTGATGGTTTCATATCTATACAACGAAGGTGAATTCTAAGTCAGTACACCGTTATTTTTCATTTAAAATATAGATAGATATGCGTACAATAGTATTATTGTTTTCAACATCTTTCATCACTAATCGAAAAAATGAAATATTTGGGCATCTTTAGCAGCCACAAGGAGATACTGTTAGTTTTTAACATGATTCAGAATTTATAATTTACTCTATAATTTGATCTGCTAAAATTTGATTTCTAGATAAAAAAGGTTATAACTCGAGTTTTTTATAAAGGTATTTGAAAATATGCAGATCAAATATTCTCAGCTTAATAATGATTGTTAGATAGAACAGAGAAATTAAAAAATCTACTCATGATCTATTCTTCGTCTTCCTGATAATCTACTTTTTTATCATTGGTGATCACTTATTTAATGTTGCATGTAGATAGATATAAACATTCTACTGAATTTGAAAATAATGCTTAAATAATTTATACCTGAGCAGAAGTTGGTGTTTTCAAATTGCCTTTGTAAAAATGTTCTTGCAAATCAATATCAATGTTTCCATTAAGTATTTCAGACTTCATGGAAATTGCATTTTGTTGTTTTTCCTTTTGGAATTCTGTTGTGTCAATTACTGACTCACTGAAAAATAGGAAAGAATACTATATTGTATATTAAAATGGCATATATATTTTCAAAATATAATAACATATTTATAGGGAAGTTTATCTCCTTTCAGGAATTTTAATTTTTAATAATGGCCAATAACTGGTTGAAATTTTTTTTGAGATTCAAAGATTTTGAGAAGTCTTGACTAATATTAATTTACATTATACTAATTAAAATCCTTATTAATAATATATCAATCTGTTGTCGATTTTTTATAACATTGAAATTTTCTTATCCAATCTGATCGAGTTATTGATTTTTGAAACAACGTCATCGGGAAGTTAACAGTAAAAGCTTATAAAACTTTATGCCAATGTCAAGGTAATAGAGAAATGCTTTTATAAATCATTCAAGTTTGTGATAAAAATAAAGTAAGCAACTATTGGTAAAACGAGGAAATTTTGTATCGACATAAATTTACGTAGATATATATATATATATATATATATATATATATATAATCTATAAATCTGATATATATGCAGATAAAATCGGAATAATTCTACGACAGAAAAACACGCAATGGTGAAAAATAATCTTAATTTTTATGTAACTGACTGCAAGTTTACATAATCCAAGACTCAACTATAGTATGTATATATATATATATATATATATATATATTATATATATATATTCCTCTGACTTTATATTAAATAACTTAAATAATATTAAAATGACAAAAACTACTTAAAAACACAATAGAATTTAGTTTTCTGAAATTAATCTATTTTTAAATCACAATCTCGTAGTAAGAACCTTAAATTTTTTTATCTATGTTTTTTCGCTTTTAAGCCTTTTATAAAATTCTGTTTTATTTTCCTCATAATTAATTAATTGTTAGTTAAAATTATCAACTGTGGTAGTCAGTCAAAGGGTTCTATTTCGATTTTAGATAAATTGAAAATTGTAAAATTGAAAGTAAAAGTTCGAAATTTTTACTGTGAGAGAATAATTTAACAAAAATTTGGAATTTTGCATTTGGCAATTTATCTCATTCATAACTTATATATAAAAACACTCGTTGTATATATAGCCCATAATAATATTTGCAGATATTTGTTGGGTAGTAGAAGTTTTGTTATCAGGTAATTCTAAAGTTTCAAATTTATACTTTTTGCGACAATCCGGGACAAAAGGCCTAAATCTGGGGGAAATACTGCTTTAAAAAAACCCGGGACTCAAGGTGGAAATCCGGGACTGCCCCGGCTACACCGGATATGGCCACTTTAGTTATGATGCATTCAATATTAATGGTTTATAAATATAATGATCCATTTCTCTACATTGTATATCCCCCTAAGAATCGTTACAAAGTATAAAATCATATCGAATAACAAAAATGTTATGATCAAAAATAGAATCGATGACCTTTTTCTTATGGGTACGTGTATATTGCATACGCCGCAGTATTTTCTCAAAATTCGATCAGATGATCATATATTTGCATTCACACAAATAAATTAATTTGGTGCAATAAACTGTGTTATATATCAAACGCATATTTACAAATAATATGCACATTATGTTATCCGTTAAAATCGCGTTGTCCGTAAATATTCATTTATTCAATAATCGTTGTTGATCACAAATTAGTGATTTTGTTGAAACTTCCATATTTACGGAGCGGCTCAAAAACGAAGCACCCTTCGCTGATTCAGTGTGAATCTGTCAAGTGAATGAATTGTTTTATTTTTGGTTTTAACCCGGATAAAAAAGGTACCCGAAAATGAATGTGAATACTGCATGTAACCATTTCATCCAAGATATGCCAAAATAAGCAGCATGTTTAAAATATAAAGTATGCTTTTACATTCGACAGACAAAGTTTATCCGATTTCTCATTACTTAAACAGACACCAGGTTCTTTATGTAATTCATTTGATAAAAACGTATCATATTACGCAATAAGTCGCGATAATACGCGCCCAAAGAAATTTATATGGTATAAGGTGCACCTATACACATCAGAGTCGATGGCAAATAAAATGTAAACATTAGTAACTAAGTCAATA